AGCAAATACCAAAAGAAAACTTTTAAATGAATATGAACGCATTTGACTGAGCTACAGCCCTTTTTTTAGCCTAATGTTGATTAGCTATGGTAGTCATTTTGAATGGGGCTTACTCCAAAGGATAAACAGAAATAGATGAACATCCAATCTTTGAGTTTTGGTAATCAAAAACAAAAAAAAAAGAAAAAAAAAACTCACTGGGTATTTTAAAGAAAGGATGAATAGCAACTTTTCTTACTAAACTGTATGATTTTTTTCTTAATGCAGCAAAGGCAGCCAACCAAGGTGGAACATGAAAAGTGTTTGCTGAACCTGTGAAAGTCACTCAAGCGTGATACATCAGCCTGCTGCCATTCTCACAGCTTCTTGTTTAATCCAAAACACTGCGATGTTCTGCTTGAGCTTGATTCTGCGTCAAGCTGCTGAAGGAGCCAGGGACGACAGGAAGGCCATCTGTGCCGAGTTCTGTCATACTATCCAACGTCTGTGCTAACAATTCCACACAACACATTGAAATCCTGGCATCAACACAAACAACCACATCAGCACGCATGCATCAATCACAACAAACAAGGACAACAATAACTTTCCCAAGATGCATGTCCACACATGCATTAATTTGCTTTGTTGGCAGAAACGGACAGCCTGTACTGGCTGGACGCTGCTTTTTAAAATCTTGTGGAGGAATTAATTGGAAAATAGTTGGAAGGATTGCTGCTAAAATCATGTCCAACTGCTTAATTAGGACTATAAAACGACACTGACTGTATTAGGGCAGGGCAATATGGCCTCAATACAGTATCACGGTATATTGAGAAGTTAGCCTCGATAACAATAACTGGACCATAACTACATGTATGCCCAAAAACAAAAGGAATCCACTATGACTCAAGGTGGTACGGCTTCTTAAAGGAACATGAATGTCGCCAACCACAACACATACTTTCATTTTTTGAGAATTTATTGTCATGAAAAAATTACATCAGTTAGTCAGAAATTTCTATGACAAATTTTAGATTTATTGCTCAGCACTAAACTGTATTTTTTTTTTTTGTTGATAGAATTACCCATCAGGTCCTAATGTTGATGCAACATGAACTATGTCATTACCTCAGCACCTGCTCTCTAAATCCTCACAGATAACTCCAGCTGGGCTCTGTCTGATGATGGTGTACCCATAGCTAGCTGGCTAAATCAGGCCTGAGTCTACATGACTCATCCCTAAGAACAAGGCCTTATTCACTGCTTCACCCCAGAATGGTGTGACGTATTGTCTATAGCATCATATGAGTGTCTTAGGATAGTCATTAGCCTTACAGTAAGGGCCTATGAAAGGCTGCATTTATGATGCTTAAAAATGGTGTCACTGTGCTAAAAAGAAAATCTGATTTAGTGACACGTAGACAGCTCTCACTGCAGTAATGTTTTAGCTGATTCTAGGCTAGAGCTGTCTTTTTACATGAATAATATTTATGTGAAATAAAAGAAGTAGTATATACAGAACTAACCCAATGCATTCAGATATCTATAACCATGGTGCACAGAATTTGTGTTTCTATTGTGCTTAGTGAAAATACAAGCAGCTATTTAATTTTATCTGAGTAAATCTGCAGAAATGCAGGCCTCCCACTGTCAGGGATGCCCACACTACATAAATTTCCACTGAGAGTTATTTCCAAGCTGAAAGCATAATTTCAATAACAACCATATGATTCCAGCTGATTGCTGATTGCACTGTTAAAAGTCACTTTACAGACACATGACCTCAGATGTTGGCAGCTTTGTGTTCCATTTACAAGTAGCACATACTTGATGGATTTACGACATGCACTTCAAATGATGAAAGCAGACATTTGGATCACAAACAGCTCACTTCCAAGCTGCATTCAGAAGTCTGAGATGCAGACTCAGACAGAAGTAGAATTTGTAATTTTACTGTAAAAATTCTGGAAGTCTGTTTCTTGTCTCTCAAGCAATACCAGCTTTCCCTGATTAAATTATTCAAATGCATTCAGACATGGAGGGAACACATTTTTATGGTTCTTGTAACCCCCAGGGAACAACACTACTGACTTAAAACACACTCGATTAATACCCCTAAGCGCACAAGGCTGGCCTTTTGCTACAGCTCTCCGTTTTACATATGCTGTCCTTACCTACATACATCTTACACCATTTTTCCTTTCAGTTAGCAAAAGATGATTTCACAAAGTAAAGCATCTTATTTCCACAAAAAAACAATATTAATGTTTATTGTTTCAATTTCGATCAATCAGCGGCAGATTCAATTCGGATGAAAAAACCCGGATGTGCCAATGATCTGCCAATAACCGGTCACTCACCCTGTGTGCCATGTTGCAACCCCCCTCTCCTTGCTTCGCACTGCACAGACGTACCGTGGCAAAAACATAAACCCTTTTACACCGTCTGGGAGAATGATGTAAACGTTGCATTCTGCAACAAAAATAAATAAATACTGCGAGGGGAAGTTCGTTAAAACGCTGCAACACAACAGATTTAATACGACTTTTTATAAGCAAACTCTGGATGGACTGAGGTGACTTTTCACATCTCAACTCACCGACATTCATTAGCTGTTTTGATTGTACTGCATGTTTTTTTTCCTGAGTTGAGCACCTTGGTGCATCATTTTGAATTTTGTACAATAAAGCTGATGATTATGACGATCTTTATGAGCGTGACAGTCAGCAGGCTGAGAACATTACCTGAAAAAAATACTTTTTAAGTCATTGCGCAAGATGAGCAGCCTTTCTCTGGGGTGGACAAGGACAAGGCCCACTGGGGGCGGCTACGGGTAGGTAGATGGGTAAGTAAGTAAAAAAAAAATCACATTATTATTCCTTTTTTCCCAGACCATGTAGACAGTAGCACTCACCATAACTACACAGAAAATGTTTAGCCAATCTATATAAATATATTTTTATCTATAAAAAAAACTCTGGCAGCAAAGGGGTTTTCTGATCAGGAAATGGCCAGCAGTTAATGAGTTAAAGTAATCAAGAAAATATAATTTAATTAAGGAATTGGACAAATTAAAGCAAGTTCACAGTAAAATAAGGAATCGCTCAAGTGGGTCAGAATCAAAAAGTGATTATTATTCATGCATGTGTCACATACAGGAATTAATAAGTACTATTTTATTTATATGGCACGTCTCAAGATACAAACCACAAGGACTTCTCAAATAAAGAACACAAAACCACAAAATAAAACATACATTGCTCAGATCATGCCCTTCCCTTGCTTGAAAAATTGTTCCAAAATGAAAGTTGAACCCACACCTTTTTTATCTGTGAATTCAGTAAATAGTTCTTTGTCTTCGTCTTAACAGAGGTGAAGCAGTTCAGATGAGCAGAGTGCATGAAAGACCTTGGCCGCTATCTCATGTAGATTAGCCTGTCAGAGACTTTATGTCTCTGCTCGAGCAGACGCAGCAGATCATGACCTTTAGGTCAAAAACAGGGCATTCATGACGCTACAAATGTAAAGGCTGGTTTGCATTGCAGCCTCGACAGGACATGAATATTAAACACCCTGCATGCTAATTGGCCTGTTTACCCTGATGGCTTTATGCCGCTGCCTGAGGAAGGAAACTCTGTGAAAGGTTTTACAACTCAACAGGCACGCTATGGATCAAACTGACAACCACGCATGTTGAGCGTTAGTGGTAGCCCGGGGTAGCATTATTCTACAGTTAGCATTACCGTTACTAAGATTTATATATTACTGATGTTGATATGCAGGGTTTCCCCCCAGCACTTTATAAGCAAGGCTTTGCTTGGCCACCCGCCAAGCTAAGCATCATGCTCCGCCCCCCTCCCCGACCCTACCGTGTCCGCTGACACGAACGGCACAACGAAACTAGAGCCCTCCATCAGCTGATTCTGATGAGAAACAGCAGTCAGTGCGTTTACATGCAGCCAGTAACCCTTTTAAAACCCGAATATTCACAATAACCCGGTTCCGCAGGTCCTTGTAAACACCGCCAAAAACCCGGATATGCTCATAACCGGGTTTTTACAAACCCGGTTACTACACCTGGGGTAACCCTTTTCTAACCTGAATGTTTGGTCGTGTAAACGCATATTGGGATATCCCCATCAAAGCGTGTGTTCTGCGCATGCTCTGTTCACAAAGAATCTTGGTCTTTTGAGTAGCGAGACGTCTTGTATGCGCCAGAACACCGGAAGTAAACAACAAGTTGGGAGCAAAATGGCGAGTCGCGGCACAGCACCACACTTTGAGTGACGAGGAAACTAAAGCGCAAACAAGCGCGGTCACCATCTCTTCCGAACTGGGAAACATGTTGTTGTTTTCACGGATACCGGAACAAGAAGAACCGGAGATGACGCATATTGCGTCTGGAAGTAGTCCATACGTCCTGACGCTACCCCAACGTCCGCATTTAAATCGGGTTATGCAAGTTAGAGGTAACTCTTTCTATTTATGCTTGTAAACGGGTTATTCTGATCAACTCAGAAACCCGAATCCCGACTTTAACCCGATCATAACCCGGATATTGGCTGCATGTAAACGTACTCAGTGGTACGTGTGCAACACCCCCGCCCCCCCCCCCCCCCCCCCCCCCCCCCCCCCCGCTCATTTTCTGGGGGGAAACCTGGATATGGACATGAAAACTTATAGGGCTGTGTCCATCAGGGCAACAGCACCTATGATGCGTTACTCCAGCTTTGCTCAGACTGAACCGTTTCTACATCATATTACTACTTTACATAGAAAGGCAGGTCAGAAACTGCACACACTTTTTGGTATGCTACATTTACCACCCCAAGTTGTCAATATTCAACATAACAAGATAAACATGGTTTTGAATTCTATAACCCTTTTAAGCACCCGTACAAACCTCATTAAAGGCACAGTCCGCAGGATGACGCCGTCAGGGTGAGGAGGAGGAGATTTTTGAATTCGAACAGCTGTTGCTCACTCCCCCGCCCTTCCTGAAAGAGCCGAAAGCCACACCTCCCAATGTGCAAGCACAGGAAAAGCAGAGTCAACATCGGAGCATTGCTTCTTGTAATAGAGCTGAGCTAGTGTTAGCAATGGAGTTATCTGAGGTAAGAAAGTTGTATTTAACCAGCACATTAAACACTTACTGTTTACAAAAGGCATTTTATAAAGAATATCTATAAATATATTTATATTTTAAAATACCAGTAACAGTTGGCAATCTATATTGTAAATAAAATTAATCCTATCAAATTGTTAGCATTTTATTGCAAGTAACTAGCTTATTTTTAATTGCTTTGCCATTCAAGATGGGATGAATATATCAAAGCATATAAATAATTTATGCGGAAATCATGAATAAACACTGCATTCTGTGTAGTCCTCCTATAATCATGGTTGTTTTCATAGGGTTTCTGTTTATTGTTGGTTTAGCCCAAATTTTGACTAGATGCAAACCTGATCTGTGTCAAAATTGATTAATATGCAAGAGTACTTTTTATATTAGTATAATTTTTTTTATTCTAATACAATTTAGAGTTCAGTGATTGAGGAATCCTCTGAGGAAGAGTTTGAACCTCCTATTGCATCCTCAAGACGTGGTGCAAAAAGGAGATGCCCACCATCATCTCAAAGCCGTGGTGCACCCAGAGGCCGCGGTGCATCCAGAGGCCGTGGTGTGTCTAGAGGCCGCGGTGCATCCAGAGGCCGAAGAAGTGTGAGACACTCAGCTGTGGACCTTGGAGATGAAGATCTCTCTCGAGTTCGGAATCTTTGTTCCGAGCAAATAGACTTTGAATGTGTAAGCATAACAAAATTACACTAAATTATCCTAAAAACTGTTGCTGTAGCATCTCTTTCCACTTTTGTAGCAACACATACAGAACCTGAACCCTCAGCAGGCTATTGACATCCTTACCACGGTGCTGGACAGACATTGGTGTTCTCTTTGATGTACTTGCCCTCTCTGGTCCACCTGCCACAACACCTCCAACACCCAATCAACCTTCATGGTGTGTATGCTCCCACTGCAGAGATATGCCAACTGATTTGGAAAAGAAATGCTGCCAACAGCCTCCCCAGACATGTATTTCAACTGTACCACACATGGAGGAGTTTATTCTGCAAAATTCCCTGACCCCAATGGTAACTACACTGGTTTTATTCCAAGACGATTGTAAATAAATGTATATATTTGATATTTTACATACGTTTGTTTTTATATATTTTTGTTTGATGCTCTAATAAAGTGTTCTAAAGCACAACTCTGTGTTGCATTTGTAAAAATACCATAAATTTTAAGACTCCTGCACAACAACAAAAAATTATGTCTACCTCCAACATTTTACATACATTTTTAAATTATTAGTCCTTATTTCCCCAAAATATATCTTTATTTTCAAAAAACAACAACAACAAAAAAAAAAAACAGGAAACAAAAATAAAGAAGGTTTTGGGTTTTCTCTTGCCTCCCCCCAACACCTATGTCTGTGGCAAAGTTTTACCTGTAAATAAAAAATAAACTCAATTAGCAATGGACTATTGTGCGGAAGATGTAAGGCAGATAATTTTTATTTTACAATCACCGCAAGTCCGTAGGTGTTGTAGAAGTTCCTCTGTTGATGGTGCAGGAACTCCGGACAGCAAACCGTAACGCTTTGGATCCTCAGGCCTTAGCTTGTAGCGTCGAGGAAGACCTTTCTTGCTTGTCAAACGTCGGTCAGTAGCTTCTGCGATATTACAGTCATGAACTGTATCCTCTATGTTAATTTCTTGCAGAGTCTCAAGTTGTAATGTTTTTTGTAGTGCTGCTCCAGTCCTGTGAACAAAAGCTTTTTATTAACTATGCGCTATTGCAGTTTTATAGAATGTTAAACGAAAAGAATTACCTTATGTGTATATAAGGTGTGTAGTCCTCATCACCGCTGTCATCAGTACCGCTGTCCATCTCGATGGTTTCGTCCTCCTCTGAAGACGAATCAACTTCTGTTGCTCTGTTTGGTGACCATGTGTCATCTGATGACTCTATCCTGAATATACACAATATAAAGTTTTTAGTATGGAAAATTAGACACATTTTATTAACATCTGAATACTTACACAGAGTTTTGAATATTGTTGAACTCTTCCTCGTCAATGTTTGCTTCAATTCCCACACAAGATAACCTAAAAAAGTAATTATTGTTTACTTTTCCTGACAAATGTGACAGCCAAATACAGATACAACCTTGTACTTACATTTGTGAAGATCCTTCTTTTTTAGTTTCACCTTGTTCCATCACCTCCTCCAAATTATCATCCCTATGAAAATAAAATACAAGCACAAGAATATGATTAGAATCAATACATATTTTGTCATTTTGAAGGTAATAGACCTCGTCTATTGGCCGTCATCATCACCCTCTCCTTATTTTTCTCACTCTACTTATTACGCATTTCTCTGTATCCACTGAATTCCTTCTTTACAAATAATTTCCTGTCTCTCTCTTTACATTTTAAAAACACAATTGTGTTATTTTTTCTCATAAACTTTGAAATAAAAATATAATTTTTTTAAATATGTTTAATTTTGTTGTTGTGAAGTGTCTCAAGAGTTTCATCTTGAGAGGCGCTATATAAAATGTAGTTTTACTATTTATTTCTATACATTTTTTATAGTCATTCATTATCCCATTTCTAGAATTTTTTCAAAATAATCCACCACTATCTTAAAACAAACAGAGGCAAAATTATAATATTCCTGGTAGGTTTTTAAGCAGCTATTTACCTTTCAGATGATTCTCCATGAATGCTAGACAGAGCTGGCACTGGTGTTGGAGAAATACACAGTTGGCGCTTCAATGGTGTAGATGTTGATGCTTCATATTTGGACTGATGACTGTAAAAAACAAAGCCCAGAAATTAGTGATCACAAGCTAAACAAGTCTCCCCAGCCTTCACAGATTTTTGCACGAGCTGATTATCATTCCTTTTATTTTAATATGGAGTTTTCACGTAGGTAAGACCACAAACTCAGACGGTAATCTGTACACGTGGCCCACCCAGGTTAGCACAATATGTCTTTCAGTGCTAATGGAAACGTAAGGTTTCGGATAGGTTCCTGATCAATCACACCTAATTCTAACTGCTGAATCATCTCCTCAGACTTCTACAAGTGCTACATGAGCTGCTGATTACTCATTTTAATCAAACACGCAGCTCAGGAAAGTGTAAACACCTAATTCAGCTTTCAAGATGCTAACTGAACCCCGCTAACGGGGAAGTTATAAACAAGAGCTTAAAACAATATATACCAGTGGCGGGCGGTGCGTTCCACCCCTGGGCCTTCAGTGATTTCCTATTCAGTCCAATCTAATTTAATACACCTTAAAATACCATCAATGGGACATCACAGCTGGAGAAACCTCACACACACACACACACACACACACACACACACACACACACACACACACACACACACACGCACGCACGCACACACACACACACACACACACACACACACACACACACACACACACACCAGTGGCTGGTCAAGACACATAATTTCCAGAGTCTTTAAAATCAAACTCGCATTCCCAGTTGAGAGTAGGAAGCTGACCACGGATACCGTCAAATCTCAGAAATGAAAGACGGGTTTAAGAGATGAGACAATAAAATAAATAAGTAAAGCAAACACATTATTTGCATTTGTTTTGGAGAAAATTGTACCACGAAACAATTGAACATGTTGGCGCAGCTGCACACACCACGTTATACACAATATAAATTGCATAGAAACAGAACACAGAATAATTTCATTTTGCCATTTTATTTCGTTACCATTTATTGATTATTAATCAAATAAAATGACAAAACATTAAAAAAATACTAATAAAATGTTTCTACTCACCAACATAAATGTCCAGCATGGATCTCCTCCTCTCCTCTCATTAGAAAATAAAATCCATCCTTCTTTCTTTCCTCAGGAAAACCTCAATGGCTCTGTACAGTTTATCTGTGCACTTCAGGTCCATGAGTGGATCCTTTTCTATGGACATGGAGGCTAATGCTGAAAAACGTGTCTGCCCGGTCGTGTTTCTGGCGTACATTTTAACGCGCTTTAATGCTAGCAAAACCATCTGATGCGAGCAACAGGCATTTCCAGCAGAATAACCTGCAGCGGTTCTCTGAAGCTGTTAGCCATGGGTACCGTTCATAGTTGCTTGCCTGAAAATGACGAACAAATCCTTTCCCCTGCTGGGACAAGCCAGCTAGCATTGGAGTCGGACGACCTGTTCTCACAAGATCCATTTTTTCTTGAAAGGTCCGTCTTGAAAATGGTGTGGCAAGTAAATCTGCAACCAAGTCTGTCTCTTCTCCTCTTTCAGCCATCATGTGTTCAAAAATACACCGATAGCTGCCTATAGATACAAATCTCCGTGTTTAGTTTCGATATTTTGCTTCATGCCGCTAGAAAAGTTCTAAATACTGCTTATCCAATCACAGGATGCGTTCATGTCAACTTTTGCGTGAGGCCAGCTGGCTGGCCCGGGCCAAGCTGACTCGTGAGCTGATTGGCTATCGCAACTGGATCGTCTCCGTTCACTTACAGCGGACAGCGGGCTTCTCGATTGATTCTGAAGGCCTAGAGCAGACTTAATCTGCCTGAAAACACAAGCTATCTTAAATCTGATTGGATAACACCCAGCCTTGGCATTTTAACACTGGAAGCAGCACAGCCAAGTGGGTATAATAGGATATAAAGAAAATAGACCAGTAAACATTTTTTTAGTTAAAAATAATTACCAAAGGAAAGAAAATACATTTACGCTTTTGAGTATGTTTAGGCCAGCAGAGAAGGCTTTGCTGGCCCTGACTGCCCACCACTGATATATACTGATGTGGCCTATAGTTAAACGCCACACTAATCATTAGCTCCCATATAAACAAAAAACTAAAATCCCCTTTCGTTACTCAAACTTCTTCCAAATATAGCATACATAGTTTGACTAACATCGATTCATGTCGACTTAGCATTCAAGCTAATGCTACATTAGCCAATAGGACATCAAGCATACAAAGCTTGTTTGCTCTATTACTCCTTTCAGTGAAAGAAAGATTATAAGTAAATTTATCCGAAAAACAATAAATAACTTACCTGTCTAAAAGATACTTTGCCAACTCTTCATCCGTTTTCAGGCCGTGTAGATCACGAAAATCTCTCCATCGTGTGTAAAACAATCTCCAATGTAAATTCTACTCGACTGTCTTAAACGTCTTACAGCCACTTTTGAAGAAGGGCTTTTAAACTTTTTAAATGTTTTTTGAGATGTGGACGGCAGTCGAGGAATCGGTAATTTGGGGTGTTGTTGCTCCATGTTTCTGCAGTAAGCCGAGTGAGGCGCGTGACACTGTTGTGCACGCTGAGACCTGCTTGTGCTTGATGATTGACAGCTGCCCCCTGGTGGAAACGCAGCGCTATTGGTCAACGCGTTAGGCTTGCAGAAATATTGGCTGAGCTCTACAGGGCAGGGGAGGGACTTAGGAGAAAATTGAAATATTAAAGATTATTTACTTTTTTTAATAAAATTGGGTCAGATGGTCAAAATAAAACATTTTTAAAGTTATTCTACATTTAAATGTTGCAGACTGTGCCTTTAATGGGTAGACGGTTAAGAGCATGCTCTTAATCCCACACCTATTTCTAACACAGTAGTCATTCTGTCAGCTAGGCAGGCATTCCTTGACCCAAATTCCACCTCTTCTGATCTAATCATCAACCTGGATTTGAAAATGCTTCACAGCAAATGCACTGAAATGCCTCATCTGCAATTGTGACAAATG